AGGCTTTGGGTCTCTTCTTTCCATACTAGAAGTTAAGAAAATAAGGGTGTGGTCAAGTCAGCAGAGACTAATTCCATCAAGTTTGGACATAGACAGAGCGATGATGCTATTATTAGAACAGGTGTAGTTGGTACCAACAATCGGTAGGTCCAAAAATGAATTATTTCCAATAAAGCTATTGAATAGTCTCATCGAGGAAGAAATAGCACCATTAGCCAAACATTCATGGGGCCATCTTAAAAGATTGAAATCACCTCCAATACAAACCGGAAAGTCAAAATTAAGAATAACATCATTCATAACATGGAAAAAGAGTTCTTTTGCTGCATAATCAGACCACCTATAAATAGATAACAGGCCCCATGAACAACCCGGAGTGGGGCCATAAAAACCCGCCAAAATAAAATTCAAATGCTGAATTATCACAAAATTTTGTAACATCAAGGGATCCCAAAGCATCCAAATACCACCAGATTATCCAAAGGTGTCAATACCACAAAAAGCCATTGCGCTTGAGCCCCAAATTTCCCGAGCATCATAAACATCGGGACTAAGGAGTTTGGTCTCTTGCAATATAACTGTCTAAGGTTTAAATTTCAAAATTAAAACCTAACATCACTTTTTTGTCTGGGACTACCCAAGCCCCTTACATTCCAAGACAAAATATTCATATTAACAAGAAAGAGAAGAGGAACCTGGAACGTTCCAACTAGCAACTGGAAAAGAAGCCTCGAGAACATTCATGTCTGCAGTCAGGGCAACATTACCGTAATCCTTAAATGCATCCGCATATTGGGCAGCTACAGAGAAATCCAATGTACCTGGAAGGTCCATGGGAACGTCCGGACCATCTGAAAGGTCGATGAACACAGGTCCATGGACCACCTATGACAACGCAACAGTCTTCTTCACAATACCACTGGCCTCCAATCTCGCAGACGACCTGGTCCCACCACCCATGACAATTTTCTTTTTGGGTGTTTTCTTCGGGCTATTACCAGAGATCATAGGTTTCCCCTGGTTTGTGGTTTTTATCTTTTTCATCAGTCGCTTGACTTCCTTGAAGAAACACCCGATAGGGACATTGAAATCTAAGCCCATATCTTCATCCTGTGGAACATGCGCAGGATTGACATCGGAAGGCGCCACCTTATCATGAGAAAGAGAGAGGCTAGGCACCAAGAGTTGTGCACGACCAGAGGGCACAACTCTCAACAAAGGAGGTTGGTCCTGAGCAGATTGAACCGAGATAGGGTCTCCCATGGTGACATGGACCATTGCTAAAGAATGGTCAGGATCACACAGCAGAGGAACATCAGAGGTTGCAGGCAGTGCGAGACCAGTGACAGGGGAGCTATCTTCTTCCGGGTCGATAATAGTCAAAGCCATAGGATCAACCGAAAGAGGGTCGAAACGTACCCTAGGAAGGGAGGGTCAACCTGTGATGGATGGCTCGCAATGAAAGAGGGGATACATGGTGCCATGATGAGAAAGACGAAGATCCGTAGAGGACAGCAACAATTCTACATCTTGCAGTAGTTTGTACTTAACCTGAAGGAGAAGGATTAGAGGGAGAAGCCTGCTGTCAGCAGGACCCCTCTTCAAAGGAGCCTTCCCACAAAGAAAATGTAAAAAGGCGGAGGGTTGAGGAAACAAATCCTGGTGCAAATCTACACGGAAGGCTGACACAGAAGGCAGCGTTGCAACCTTAAGACCCCGTAGATCAAAACCCACATTGACCAAGGGAGAGAAGGTAGGATTTAGTGGACCCGCGCCTTTAGAAAAACTACTTGGACCTTCAACATTACAAGGTAACAGAATGTTATTGTCGCGGAAAACTACTTTTGATAAATTCATTGAGAAACCTTCTATCCAAGCCGCGAAAGTGCCGATAGGGTTCCAGCGTTTCATAATATTAAATTTTGAATCCGAAAATGGCTTCAACGTGCGTCGTGAATTCCACCAGTGATTTTGATTCCGATAATGGGGTCGGGAGGATTGGTGCACCACAACTGAGTCATGCCCGTTAGCCGGAAAAGTAGAAACTGGGGGCAAGGGAGTTTTCCACCCCTCTAAAGATAGAAGGAAACTTCTGACTCTGCAAAAATGAAACCTCAGAGCTTTGGATACATCGTCCTGAGATTTTAACTTAAATACCACCTTATTGCCACCAATAACCTTAAGATATGGTAAGTAGGATAATCCCCAAGCACGTCTTCTCCAATCAGCGAGAGCATAAAAATTGTTAAGAGGAGGGGAAAAAGAGCCTGTAACAAAGAATTGGGACTGCAGTCCAAGAGAAAGGAGTTGATTCTTGGCGACAAACACCTTCTCCAACTACAGAGAGCAACGATTTCTAGCACTTCCTCCATCTCTACCATCTCCAGCCTTGATATTATGAACTTCACGATTCAAAATATTCTTACCTTTGTCACCTCTCCTTCCCTCGCTAGAAGCCCCAATAGGCTGATCTCCAATATTTTTTTCATCTCCATGTTCAATGCCTTTTCCTACCTCCATTGTCTAGGAAACTAGGTTAGAGTAGGAGGAAAGCTCTCTCTCTCTCTCTCTCTCTCTCTCTCTTACCCTTCAAGGTCTATTTGGCATCTGGTGGTGGAAAGATTTCAAAATAAAGTGGATATGTGGAGATTCAAATTCCTATTATTTGGTGATAGAGTTACTTTAATTAAATCCAATTTATCTAACTTGCATATATATTTAAGTCCATGTTCTGGATACCTTTGCAGGTTTTTAAATTGCTAGAAGAGTTAATGAGAGCTTTCATTTTTGGGGGAGTAACAATAAAATGAAGAAGTTGGATCTTTAAATATGTGCTCCTAAATGAGAAGGGGGACTTGGGATTAGAAAGCAAAAATTGATGAACTACAATTTGCTAATGAAGTGGTGGTGGAGATGTCAATCTAACTAGAGCCTTCTTTGAAGACAAGTTTTAAAAGAAAAATATGGTGAGGACGTCATAACTGGGCTTATTAAAAGTCCTTGATCTAAAGTTGCTCATTCATGCATTTGAAAGAGTATTGATTATTCCAAGCCCATTTTTTTTTGATATTTCAAAAAAGAAGTGGGACATGGAGATGGCACCTCTTTCAAGTTCAATAAATGGTCGAGAGATACTGCCTTAAGGATTTCTTTTCCATGAGTACTTCCAAAGTCTGTGACCCGTTAGCCCTTGTGGAAAATATAGTGTCAAGGGAAGGATTCAATACTATTTGGAGAGTAACTGCGAGATAAAAGCGTTTCTAAGATTTTTCTTAATCAATTGTCTCATCTTATGGAGTGCTTGCATGAGTTTTTAATACACACTTAAGAGCTAGGACGAGATTGTTCAGGACCTTAGTCCGTCGGATGAATTTTTGGTGAAATCGGTTTATCGATTGCTTTGTAAGGATTGTAGTAAAAATATAGACTATTCTTTAATTAAGATTTAGATTATATTGGTGCCCTTTAAGATTCAACTTTTCTTTTTGCTTGTCAAGGAAAATTGGTTTGAGAAGAGGATTCATCCTTACTGATGTCTGTGATCTATGTAAAGCATATAATGAAGCTTTGGACCATCTTTTTCTTGAATGCCACTTCGTATGGGATAGGAAGAAACTCAACTTGCATCTGCAGACATATTTCTGTATGTGGCATTTATTACAGTAGTGGCTTTCCCCAAGTATATCAAAGATGGTAGAATTTTATGAAAAGGTTTGTCGGCCAGTATTATTTGGAACCCTTCGAGAGAAACGAATAGAAAAAAATTTGAGTATAAATGTTTGGAATGTTATGAGCTTAAATCTAATATCCTAGCTTTAGCAGCTGATTGGGTTTCCATGAATAAAGATCGTAAATTTATTTCTAATGAGCATCTTATCCTTAATTTTTCTAAGATTCTAGGTTATGGAATTCCTAGACCAAGTACAGTAGCCACTTGGATGCCTCCTCTGAAAAATTATTTGAAATTAAATTTTGATGCTAGCTCTTGAGATAATCCAGGAAGTCGGGCTATTGGTGGTCTTGTTAGAGATCACAGAAGCTCTATCGTTCATTCCTTTTTCGAAGCATTACGGGGTGGTCATGGCCAATGAGATAAAAGTTAAGACTCTTGTACAACAGTTACGACTTGTCTCCTCCTTCTCAGATGTTCTCTTCCTCCTCTGATGTGAGGATTATAGCAGAAAAGGATTATACAAACGCGATCTCTTGGTGTAAATAGGATGCTAAACCTCATTGGAGATTAACCCCCATTTATTATGGAAATTAGAGCTCTTCCTGGGAATCTCAATGCCTCTTTATATCATTGTTTCAGGAAAATTAATATGGAGTTTTTTGCTAAAAGTGGTGCTCACCGAGACCAGGTGTGCATATCTGCAATCATGACAAAAAGTAGCTTTCTTAGTGCCAAAAGCCTGAAACTAAGTTTTGGCACGACCTACAAGTAAATGTTTTTGAACAATCCACAAAGGGATTACTATAAAGCCATTTATTTTGGGATTGTCTTCGAAGAGGTTATTTATTTTTAATATAAAAAAGCCATAATCACACTTAGCCACTAGATGTGGAATTTGACAGCTAAAGGTGTACCATATATTTCGAGAATGTTATTATGATTTTTTTGCCAAATCATTCACACGCTCCTAGACTTCCGATTTAATATCTAATAGTCCATTGTGATTGTGACATCCTTGTGTCAAAAAAGGATTACGTACTATAAGACCATTTATTTTAGAACAAAAAGGTCATAACTACTTTTAGTCATTGGATGTGAGATCCGACAGTAAAAAGTGTATCACACAATTTGAGATTTTTTGTTTTGGATTTTTTACCAAATCATTCACACCCTCAGGTGTCCGATTTAACATCTAATAATAAATTGTAATTATGACCTCCTTGTGTCAAAAATAAATAATCTTATTATATACTTTTCTATAAAAAAAACAAAGTGGATATTATTCTTTTCAAAATAGATGTTTGGCTTTCAGCATTGACTTTTTAGCTACGAGAAAATTGTCAGATGCTCAATTGTAGCACTTAAGAGAGGGTCCATTAACATTGGATTCAGCAAGTTCGACGATATCTCTTCCCCCCTTTCCCCCCTCTCTCTCAGCAGCTGAGCAAATTCTCCTAAATGCAGTTTCCAAATTTTCTCTCTCATGCGTTATCATGGAAAAAATAAATGAAATTGTAACCCCTCCACATGGTTACGTTGTGATCGATTCAACATAGACACACCCTTCTTTCTGATAATTTGCAAAGCGCTTCTTTCTCCTTTTGTCTTACCTCTTTAGAACCCTCAAATCCCGTCTGTCGGCACCGTAAATGATTTTTGAATCGGAATCTTACGTCGCACATCCAGTATCATGTCACTGATTGTGGGTCCGAACAAGTGCAGCTGCCATTATCATCTGATAGTTTCTGCAATTTAGCTCAAATGTCACAGTTAGTTACTGTAATTCTGTAGCTGATTAAATTAATTGAAACTAATGAGTCTTGATTAATTAAAGTTTCTTCATATGCCAACTAATTTCCATCCAGAATCGGTCTCATTTAAGAAAAGAAACAACAAATATAACAAGCAGAAGCTCCGGGAGCAAATATATGCAAACATTGCGAGTTTTGGTCCTTAGAAATGTGACTTCCTGTTTACAACGAGGAGGCCAAGATTTTGAATTTTGAATTTTAAACTGCGTTAAAATCAAGCCGACTCACCCAAAACGAGTAGGAAAAGCTTTTTATGTTCCCTCTACAACACAGAACTTCTATCCTCCCCTACCATCAAGCCCTGCATTTTTTATCAAGAGAGTTACTCATCGTTTGATCTTAGATCGATGTTTCAAAGTATTTTATTTTTAAATTTTTTAATACAAATTTTGTGAATATGAAATTTGGTACGTGCCATCTTCTCATTCTCATTGGGGCGCACCTATAAAAAATATTAACAATAATTGTTCCCATAAATATAATAATCAAAATACTCTTTAAATATTTCAAGGGTATTTTGGTTATTTTATTTTTTTGAAAATATTTTTTTTATATTTCTCTTTAGTGCAAGTTTAATAGAGGAATGCACGTCCAAAATTTGGTGTCAAAATATTTTATAGAAAAAAAATTAAAATAAAATGGTGTAAAGACGTGACATTGTGATTGGGGCAATCTTAGCCCTCGATTAAAAAATAGAGGTTGGATAAGGGAGAGGATAGAGCTTCTATGTTGTAGGGGGAACATAAAAAGCTTTCCCAAAAGAATATGAGAAAATTATAGATACCCTCAATTTTAACTTTCTACACATCTTATCCCAGTACTTTTTTATTATACCCTAAACCTTAATATTATTTTTCCTTATATTTAATCAAATAGTCAAAGCATGCTTTTTTATATTTCTCTCACAAACTCTCTCTAGTTAAACTCTCTCACCTGTCTTCTCTCTCCACCTGTTTCTCTCTATCTTTCTCTACCCTCCCTCGATCTTTCTCTTTCTATCCTCTCTCATTCTTTCTCTCTACCTTCCTGTTTTCTCTCTTTCTCTCTCTACCCTCCCTGATTCTTTCTCTCTTGACCACTCATATGCCCATAATGTAGTCCGGCAAGTTTTTGTGCTGGACTGAAAATTTGTTTTGTCGTCACAAAAACGTGTCGGACCGCGAAAAAGATTTTGGTTTGACACAAAAACATGTAGGATCGCATTATAAGGAAGTAAAATTGTGGTCCGACACGTTTTTGTGCCGAACCGTAAAAAATTTTCAGTCTGGCACAAAAACGTGCTGGATCGCATTATGGGCATGTGAGTGGTAGGGAGAGTAGAGAGAGAAAAAGTGAGGGAGGGTAGAGAAAGAGAAATAAGTATAGAGAAAGAGAGAGAGGATGGATGGAGAGAGGTACATAGAGAAAGTAAGAGAGAGTTTAAAAGGACAAAGAGAGAGAAAGCGGCACTTTGGTCTCAAAATTGTTTGACTATTTGATTAGAAGTAAATACAAGAAAAAATAGTGTTGGGTTTAGGGTATAATAAAAAAAGTATTTGGAGTAGAATGTATAGGAAGTTGAAACTATAATATTCCCAAAGATTAATCGAAAAAGCCAAAATTTATTCTACCCCAGTGGGAGTAGAATGTCCATTTACTCCCTCAGATAAAATCCTACTCAATAATAATAATAATAATAACAACAACAACAACAACAATAACAACAATAATAATAATAATAATAATAATAATAATAATAATAATAATAATAATAATAAATCCTAATTGTACCTTTTATATATTTGATAAAACAAAATGTCTTGAGATTGAATAAAGAGCATCTAATTTTTAGATGGTGAGATCTAAGAGTTAGAAAACTCAAATTTTTTTTTTTTTTTTGAGAATAATTATCAAAAAATTCTGAAGTGGTTTCCAGATTTTAGATTGAAAAAAAATCCACCCGAGCAAGTCTTCTCACCAAGGGAGTACAAGTAAACTATACTCTCAAGGGAGATAGTATTAGTACCCATTGAAAAATGTTTTGGAATTCCATCAATGCATTATGGATTTCATTTATTTGTAGTCCATAGGAAGCTCACAAATAAGACTTGCATACCTGCGCCTGATTTTGAAGGCCTTTGATGTATTGAACTGCTAATTCTAGCATGTCTGCGGTGTTTGTTTGCTGCCAAAGATGAATAAAATCAGAATGTGAGGCTTCTTTATTCAACCATGGCGGTTCAAGCGAATTATTCGGACTTGGCACCTTGCCGGAGTTCTATAATACAAAATCAATTTCATAAAAATATGTCAAACTTGAATGTTTTTTTATAAAATCAATGTACAAAAATTGGATATATAACTTTGATGATCTTGATGATTATTCATCGGTTTTTCTTATTTATGATAAATTTATCTATTTTCTCTTCTTTTTTTTTGGGATTTTCTAAAATGTTCCAAGCGATAAAATTGCAAAATTCCATCTTTAATATATTTTATCCATCTCTTTTGGAGTTTTTGATGTTGTTTATAGTCTAGTTCAATAACTAGGAAATCACCTCGACCAAGGGAGTCAACCGGCCGAGTTACTTGGTCGAAAGTCCTAGTTCAATTGAAAAAATATGAAAAACTTGAAAATAAAGAAAATAAAATGACTAAATGTTAAACTAAAATCAAAGACAACCTTTAAAAATTCAAATAAGATTAAAAAAGTATAGAAAAATGAAATAAAAAAATTGATTTATAGCAGGTGACATTTTAATAATTAAAAAACAATATATCTATATATATATATATGGATTATGCCCTGAAAAACAACACTCACTAATCTTTACCAAAAATCCAAATTATATAACAAAAATTTATACATCAAACCCACATTTTTTACAATCATTTTTATTTATTTTTATATACCACAAGTTGTACATAAAACTTAGGGTATAGGCGAGGCTGAGTGGACTCGAGCGAGTTCCATAATGCTGGTGCTTAGATGGCACCCATGCGAGAGGTTCTCCTTTACAAATTAATTTGATGCTCAAATGGCACCATATCAGCCACGCTTTTGCACAGTTCCTGCTCGTCTTTTGCCAAAATCTTTCTTATCATACAGACATATTTTGGTCAGTATGGATCTTCTCTACCTGCAACAGCTTCTTCTCTAGGACATCTTGGATCTAACAGCTTCTTCTCTAGGACATCTTGGATCTAATGGTAACACACATCAATGTGCATCGTCCTAGAGTGAAAGCTCGCATTCTTACTCAAGTGGATAGCGCTTTGACTGTCACAGTGGATGATATATGTATCATGTTTCAAGTCTAGCTTTGGATGAATTTTTTCATCCATATCATCCTTTTGTGACTGCAATGTACTCTACCTCTATGGTCGATAGAGCCAAACACTTCTACAACTTGGACTGCTATGAAACAACTCCTCTTGCAACAGTAGACTAATATCCCGAGATTGACTTCCTAAAGTCTATATCTCCAGCCATGTCTATATCTGTGTACTCTTATAACACAGGTTTATCTCCCCAAAGCTCAAACATACTTTGGATATTCCTCTGAGAAATCTGAATATCCACTTGACTGCTGCCCAGTGTTCTTTGTTTGGATAAGTGATAAATATGCTCACTTCGCTGATTGTGTGTGCGATATCTAGCTTCATTAGGGGTGGCAACGGGTCGAGTATGGGTTGGGTCTGGCTGGACCTGGACCAGAATAGTATTCGGGTCCAAAATTAGATCTATGGGGTCCCAGGTTTGATCGGATCTATTGCAACCCTATGGTTATGAGCACTTTTTTTTGCCCTTTTTTCTTTACCATCATATACCCTATAACTATGAGCTTCTTCTTTTTTGCCAATAATACTGTAAATATTGCCAATATTGTGACAATATGAACACCTAGCACACACCAAAGACACATGATTGCCATCATATACCCTATGACTACGAGTACAGGTCAAGTCCCACTAAACCCAGACCCGAATAGTATTCGGGTCCCAAATTTGGACCCATACCTAGACCTGAAGTCGAATATACTCGTCGGGTCCCGGGTCTGATCGGGTCCATTGCCACCCCTAGGCCTCATGCACACCATGGCATGCATTAAACTTTCTAGGGCCGACGTATAGGTCATTTTCGTATTTCTTACTCTCATTCTCATTTGAAAGGCTCTGCTTGACACTTAATTTTAAGTAGCTTCCAAGTGAGGAACCGACAGGTTTTGCCTCATTCATATTGAATCTTTCGAGCACTTTCTCAGTGTACATTTCTAATGACAACCATAACTTCCCAGCCATCCTATCACGAGAGATCTTCATGCCAAGATCTGTTGAGCAGGTCCTATGTCCTTCCTGACAAAGGCATGATTCAACGCTTCTTCAACCTAACAAGTTTGATGGCATCCTGACCAACTATCAGCATGTCATCAATATATAGCAACAAACACCTAATGGTCCAAGGTTTTTCTCTTGCACCCATACTTCCCCATGAAGAAATAGAACTTCTTGTACCACGGGCTTGCTTCAACCCAATAGGCTCTTCTTCAGCTTGCACACTATGTGTTGTTTCCCTTTTACATTTAAATCCTTATGACTGCTCCACATATATATCACCCTCCAAATAGCTATGGAGAAAGGAACTATTGACATCTAGCTACTCAATTTCTAGACTCCAGCTTGCAGCCAAGCCTAACACCATATGACTTGATGACATTTTTACCACTTGAGAAAAGATTTCACTAAAATCGATTCCCTTCAACCTAAAACCTTTCATGACCAACCTCGCCTTGTACCTTGGTTGTGAGCTCGTCTCTTTAGTCTTTATCTTGAAGATCTTTAGTGCTCTCTTGTCTTTAGGCAACTTTACCAGGTCATAGGGGTGGTCCTTATGCAATGATTTCATCTCCTCTTGCATAGGTTTAAGCCATTTCTCTTTATGTTCATCGGCCTAAGTTTTTTGGTACCTTTCTAATTCACCGCCTACAGTGTATAGGATATACTTTGATGCAATGTATCTGATAGATGATTTATGTCCCCTAGAGGACCTTCTCAATTCAACTGTAGGTGGCACTTCTAGAACAAGTTGTTCCCCTTGCTCCACATCACCCAGAACTGGCATGTCAAACTCTTGGGACCCATCCTCTTGTGGCTTTTCAAAGTTCTCACATGTTCAATGGTAAGGTATTCTTGAAATACCATATCCTTACTCCTAGCCGCCTTCCTATTCTCAAGATCCCATAGCCTATAGCCGAACTCTTCATTTGAGTACCCTGAGAAGATGTATAAAAGTGCTTTCTCATCCAGCTTGTATATTTGTTCTTTGGGTACATGCATCAATGCCATCATCCCGAATATCTTTAATTGTGAATAAGAGATACCTTTTTCAGTTCAAACTCATTCTAGGATCTCACAATTAGGAATCTATTTTATTAGGAGGCATGTGGTGAGGACTACTTCACACCAATACGGTTTTGGTAACTTCACGGTAGAAAGCAATGCTCCTAACTCTTTTTATAATGGTGTGATTCATTTTTTCTACTACACCATTATGCTGAGAGGTATGTGACATTGTCTTTTCGTTTCTTAGGCCACGCTCAACACAATAGCTTTTGAAAGTATTTGAGGTGTACTCCCCCATTGTCTGATCTGATACATTCCAACAACTTGCATGTCTCTCTTTCCACTTTAGCATGAAAGTTCTGAAAGATTCTCAAATATAAGATATTTTGATTTCATTAATTACACCCATGTATCTCTTGAAGCATCATCAATGAAGGTGACGAAATATGATGTGCTACTAAGCGACTTTACATCTATAAGATCATACACATCTGAATACACTAGATCCATGATTTTCGTATCTTTCGAGCTTTTACTTGAGAAAGGCTCTATGTTGTTTGCCTTGCAAACAATGGCCACATGGGGCAGGAGATGTATTCTTGATACTGGAAAAGATCTGCTTCTTTACTAGGATATGCATTCATTTTTCATTCATATGGCCTACTCGCCTGTGCTACAGGTCTAGTGAGGATTCTTTCATGACAACATTAGCTTCGTCATTAGAGATTTGCACCTGTATTTTGTAGAGTGAACAATACTTGTTGCCATTTGCAACAATAAGAGATCCCATCTTCAGCTTCCAGTGTCTCTTACTGAACACTGAGTGGTACCTTTCATCATCGTAACACCCTCTTGAGATGAGGTTTAGACGGATATTTGGCACGTGTCTAGCATCCTTTAACACCAGCTTCATCCCATTGTTAGTTTTGATGTGTACATCTCCTTTACCCATAATCTTTGAGGAACCGATTGTTTCCTATCTTTATAGAGCTACAATCTTAAGCTTTATAAGAAGAAAAATAGCAACTATGTGGGGTAACATGAAATGATGCTCCAATAACTATAACCCAATCAAAGTCGCACGTTCCTGATGCAATATTGATTCGTCCACCACTACAGTTTCTGACCATATCAACATCTGCGGTCATTGCAGTGGTTTGCTTGCCATCATTCTTGGCTTTTCTTCATTCTTCACTTTCTTGAGTTGACACTCTCTCTTGATGGGCCTATTCTTGCCACGATGATAATATGTGATCCGCTTCCTCAACTTCAACCTAATCTTTATCCTTAGATCGGTTAGATTAGTTTTGTTCCCTATTTTTAGACCATTTTCGATTTGTGATATGAGCTTGTGAGTTTGATGAGTCAAAATATTTTCTTTTTGTCTCCTCATTCAGCAGCCTGCTAGTGACTTAACTCATAGTTACTATCCCATAAAGTGTTGAGGGTATCCTACATATGCAATATTTTCTTAATGTACTCAAACTCATTGGACACTCATTACCTTTATTTTGTAAGTGTTTTCTCTGAGGAATATCCTATGCCATCTATTTTAAACTCGCTTGGGCCGCCAACTCTGCCCTAGCCAAAGCTCGGACTCGGTGTGTTAGTTTATAATACAAGAAATTTGTTGAAAGATAAAATTAAAAAGTTTGTTAAAAATCATTAAACATAAAAAAACGTAAAATAAGTACAAGAGTTCATTGCAAGTCCAAAAAAGTTGTAAAAGATCGATTAATGAAAATCTTAATTTATACCTTCAAATATTGAAAAATTAAAAATAAAAAAGTAAAAATTGGAACGTATTGAGATAGTTCAAATTATTCTCAAAACCATATAAACGATCTAAAAGTATCTTTCTAATCCTTTAGTTAAGATTTTAACTTCCCAAAAAATATATACTTTTATAAGAGTAATTTATGTACGAACAAAAAAAAATACAAAATGGGCCAATTTTGGACAAAAATTACGTGGAACATCAATCAACCTGTGTTTTTTTTTTTTCTTTCTAAAATTTCCCTTCAATCCAAGGATGACATTCTCGGACTGCTTTTTAATTTATTTCTTTTAGGTTTTTTTGCTAGTAGGGCAATGCCTAGATTAGCATCCTCGGACCGCCTTATTTATTAGTAAACATATGAGATAATGCGGTCGAGGATGACAACTTCGGACTGCCCTAGAGAGCACCATATAAGGCGGTCCGAGAATGGGTAGCTCAAACCACCTCTGAATGCTTAACAAAGTCGGTCTTTACAGTCCCAAGATGCCAACCTCGGACTACTTTAAAGAGCACCACAAAAGGCGGTCCGATGATGCTTACATTGGACCGACTGGGCACTGCCCCAAACATTACGGCACAACCCTACTATCGAAAATAGTCCAAACAAAAATTTTAAATTAAAATACGGCCCGAAGATGGTATCCTCAGACCGAAGGAAAATTTTGGAGAAAAAAAACCTTAGGTTGACTGACCTTCCCCATAATTTTAACCTAAAATTAACTCATTTTGCATTTTAGTTTTTTTTTTTTTTTTGTTATATGTACATGTACGTAATTTACTCTTTTTATGATTATTTTAAATAAGTGCTAGCCCCTCAACTCACCTAGGCCACAGGCCGAGGCCCGAATCACCAATCATAAATGTATCAATCCTTTACCTATTTCTTTCATCTTTCGATCCTTGTATCCTAATCATAATGATCATACAAATGGAGTTCTTTTTTGGTTCTAAATCGAGTCTGCTTTCGGTACTTTAGGCCCTCTATAACCCCTTTGCAAGAAAGATGGCCATGAGCTTCTACGACCAACTCTCCATCCATCACCGTAACCAGTGATTGAATGGCGATAAAGCTCAATGATCATCTATCTTTATGATCCTATGGATCATAGAGTGCAATTCAGAGAAAATTTTGTGATCCACAACCTACGCGGCTATTTCCACCCATCTTCTTCTGATTATAAACTTGTCTTGAATCAACTACTTTTATAGACTTACGACTGTTCTCCATCATTAGGGGCAGCAATCGGTTGATTTTGACCCCACCCGACTAGGTTTCATCTGGACCCGGACCTGGACCGGACTTAGATATCGGGTCCAAGTCACTTGGACCCGGACCCTACCTGGACATGGGTCTAGAATTAAAACATAAGAAAATTATTTCTATACTATTTAGTATGTATATTCTATATATTTTATACTGGACCGCAGGTCAACCCCAACCTAGACATGGCAGGTCCAAACCCGGACCGGTGGGTCTACCCAATCCGACCCGATTACCACTCTTATTGGACCTGGACCGGTGGGTCTACCCAATCTGACCCGATTACCACTCCTTTCTATCATCATTCCTAATCTTAGTAAGGCCACCTCTCCCTCTCTCTCTCTCTCTCTCAAACTCTCTAGTTGTAAGAGTAATAACAGTTGGGTCCGGTGTGTATAAGGTTGCGACTTTAAAGAATCCAATTAAGGCACACTTCCAAATTTTTTCATAATATGTAACATTGGTATAAACTTTTTTTAGGATTATCTAAAACTCTATTTTCATATTTAATTATAAAATTTTAAATTATAAAATGGTTAAAATCAAATAGATCTATAAACATATGAAAATCTTGAAAATGGTCCGTCTAGATATCGTGTAGCAAGATGCACTATTTTTTGACTCTGAATCTTTTTTCCTTTCATATTCATATATTAATATCGAACAACATTAAAACAACATTTTCTGATGGATTTTTGAGGTGCATCTTTACTTCTACATTTTAAAATTGCAACCTTCCATAAACTTTTTGCATAAAAGTTTAACCAGCACCCATTATTTCAAACACTGGCTTATTGCAGTTTATTTAACCTAAATACTGCAGAAGACAAACAGCAAAGGGACTAAAGCTAGGATTATTCACGTTTAGTCTTATTTCATTTTTGTGAGATGGAGTGGGATAATCACCTTATCCATGTTTGGCACCAGCTCTTGTAACTTCTTCAGCTTTTCAGCTATCCGTGTTCTTCTCTCCTGAGAGAGAAAGAGGGTTTAACAATAATAAGAAAAAAACATAAAAATTTAATGAGTGAGATGTGGATGTATCGGTTAATAGAAAATGAAAATTAAAATTATGTGGTGGTTAGTAACAGACCCTCTCTGCAATGCTGCGAGGATGGGTTGCGTAGCCACGCTTAGCCCTGATCTTGCATGCCACCGAGTCCTGCAGTAGGAACACCGATTTCTCCATTCCGATCCCTCCTTCCATATCCGATGAGATGCTCAATCCATGGTTCTGTTTTTTATTTTTACAGTAAATTGGCTTAATGTTTTAGTCCATCAATATATTAAAGTCATGCACTTGAACAAAATGAGGACGCTATTACAATGTAAAGTTTTCAATCTTCATGTATACGAGTATCACCTTACAGCACCTCTACAAGGAAAAGCATACACAAAACCCCTTATAATTAGCTTAATTTGAAAAAAAAAAAATGAAAAAAAAAAATACATAAACGTAGAATATAAATATCAATTGGGTGTGGTTTGTATAGAGCCGAGGCTCCAAACAATCAAATTTGAAGCCACCTTCAAATAGTGTCAAGAAATGTGGTTTCAATATTGGAAATTTTTTACTAACCTTAAAATATATTTTCACCTTTAATTATAAAATTTAAAACTTCAAAAATAGTGTAGATCAAGTAGATCTATGAAAACTTGAATAACTTAAAAATTAAAGGTCAAAAAATGCGTTACAAGATGCGCTATTTCCAAAACTTATAATCCATTTTTTCTCAAGTCCATGCATCTTGATGTCAAGATGATCAATTTGAAGATATTTGAGCATCAAAACAACCTCTTCTAGTGAAATTTTTGAGGTAGTGAAATTTTTGAGGTAGGCTTTAATTTGATTGTTTAGAGCCTAAGCTCTGTATAAACTTTTCCCATATCAAGTTATAGGGTTCTAAACTAACAGTTTAGAACGGGTGGGTACAAAAACATAGGCTTGGAACTAGCAGTTCTAAAACAGTGGTAAAGACTGATAAAGATACGTATTAAGAAGTGCTAGTTTTGAACAAAAGGCATTTTGTGTGTAAAGACAAAGGGTGGAAAAAGAGACATCAACCTAAAATATAAAAGATCAGATGGTTTTCTTTTTAATTAATTAAAAATTATATTAGTGTTTCCTTGAGAACAATAATGGACCGATCACTATTAAGGCGGGCAATTTTTTAGGCACGATCATCTGCTTCCAAACCAGTTTGTTTCGAACTATATTTAGAAAATCGATTCGGTCAAGATATTCGGGCTTTGGTTGAGGCCAGTTACATTTTTTTTGGAGCTACATTGAAAAAAAATGAAGCTACATTGAAAAAAAATGATGGTCCTTGTTCCCATCATATAAAAAAAAAGTGCCGGTCTTTGAAAGTGGTGTTCTCTGGTGGGAATCAGACCCCGACCCGTTAAAATACACGTGTGATGACTAACTGTAAAGCCATTCAAACACATTTGAGTTAAATTTTATGTATTAATATAATTAAACTTTAGAAACATATTGTACAGCCTACTTGCCTAAAACTTGCCTCATGAATATAATGGAAAGAAAAAGGTCAGATTTTAAACCTCAATAATAGATTATTTTAAGCTATCACTAGAGATCTTTTCTCGCTATCACTAGAGATCTTTTCTCTTTCTTTTTTTTCTTTCTTTTTTTTTTTTTGAGAAATCAATTCTGTGCTATTATTTAAGCAGAAAAATCATGGATCTAAAGCAAAAATGCATCTAGAGCGACACATGATGCATTTTAGATCCTAAATCCATCTTTAAAATTAATTTTTGTAATAGGAACATATTTGAATAGGACCTCATTTAAACTTTTCCCAAAAAATGAGTGCGTCTAATAAAATAGAAAAAGTTCCTCCCGACTAGGGATGTATCGTTATAAATAAAAAATAAAAATTTTAAGTCATGAAAATAGTGCATCGCGTAACATTTTACTTGGACCATCCATTTTCAAGAAATCACATATATGAAGCCTATGGGTTCTGTAAGACTGCAGAGCATCCATTCGCCCATTCCTACACCATAATAAGATATCTATTAGAAGTGATCTATAGTGATGTTTGGGGCCAAGCCTATTGGAGTCTCAAAGGTAGGTAGGTTACCATGCTTCTTCTTTCACAGATGATTATTCCCATGATAGCTGGGATTTTTCCTCAATAGAAAAGTCAAGAAATTTCAGATTAATCGTAATACAGAGTTCATGTCAAAAGTGTTTGATGAATTCTCAAAGAAACATGGAATCAAAGGGCTGCCATCATGTTTGGATTTCTCAACAAAATGGTATTGCTTAGAACAAGAATCAACACCTAGTGGAAGTCAAGTCTGCTAAAGCTAAGAATCATGTGTATGATTGTGTACTTGATTAATTGGATGCCGTTGAGACTTAGGATGAAGGTACCACATAAACTTTTCTATAAGAAGAAATCCTATGTAGTTCATCTTCGCCTGTTTAGATGCATATAGCTTATATGAAGCGTGAAGATGATGGCCATGGCTAACGTGATGAAAAAGCAATAAAATAAAATTTTACTTGGATATTTAAAAGAGAAAAAAGGTTGGTCTAAGAAAGGTGAGGATTTTAAACTCTCTCGTAACCTATCCCAAGCCCGAGTAAAGAGGGTGAATTGTGTTAGGTAGGTAGTCAATGTAAAACTTTGTCAAAATTTCTCATGAATTCAGAATATACACTATCTGCTTATACTGCGGTGTCTCCCGCACAGAAGGTATGGCTCTTAATAGAGCAAAATGATGGACTAGGATTCGTATAGCCGACCCCAATTAGTTGAAAAAAAGGCTTTGATTATGATGATGATTCAAAAGAGAAAAAAAGGCTTTGATGATGTATTGACAAATATGCCACAATTTTTAGATTTTAGAGCCGAGATGTGAAATTTGATTAGTGAGCACAATGGCATAAAGCTCCACAAGGAGTTGAAGTTGGCATCCACACCAGTAGCAGTTGAAGAAAAAGTCTCCCTTGAAGCCAACCCAAACCATTCAAGAGAAACCCATTATTGAGCTCCCAAATTCAAGAATCAATCAAGCTTTATGCAGCGCAAAACAAATATCCTCCAAAACTTCTTATGATCATTATGTACATAACTTGTACTATGCCAACATGGTGCAGGTCACAAATAAGCGTGCACCAAAGAGGTTAGTGTGAAATGGTGACATGCCATGGAGGAAAAAATGGATGCATTTTCCAATAAACAAGGGGTCAAAAGCTCCACCAAATGAATGTGTAAAAGACATTTGTGAACAAAGATATTAATAAGTTGTACATGCACCAACCTGAAGGATACGAAGACCTCAAGAAGCCTCGACATGCAAGCCCAAGAAGGGTTTATATGGCTTGAAGCAAGCATCTGGACATGGTTTCATGAGGCTACATAATTCTACGACAGGGCTTTCTTCTCTCTAGGACGAATTCATGCATCTTCATTGATGTTTTCCAAAAGGAAATGGTCATGGATAAAATTTATAGACTTGATCATTACAGGATGTAACCCATCTAAAGTTAACATAATCAATGTCTCTTGCTCATGAAACTAAAATAATCAATCTTTCTTTCTCATGAATTTTGAAGTGAATTGGAGAGCTTCAATAGATTGAAATTATGAGAGATGGGAGGCATACTAATCATGGACAAGTTTACTTTTCTTACAATATTTGCTTGGTTGGGCTCAAGCCTGCAGTGCCACCCTTGCTTGAATTTGCATATTCAGGTTACATTGAGCCTTGCTAGCTCTTAATCATCAAAGGACTAAGTTGGATTTGCGATGGCTTGAATTCTAGTTGGTAAGTGTCCCCAATTATCTTTTTCTATTGCTTTATCTTTTTTTCCCCTCTTTGAGGAGTATTTTTCTTGGTAGTCAGAATCCTTGTCATCCCAAAACTCTATATTTGCCCATGAAACCACTTCAATAAGGGCTTGGTGTCTCAAACCTAAAGTGGCAAGGACCATTCCATCAGTGTGTCTAAGACCAGTGGAGAATGGTCTTAAGTGATTTTAAGTAATGCCCTAACAATTAATATGTGAACTTCCCGGAAATAAGGAAGCGATCCAATTTAAACCTGTGGGGATCAGTGGGTGAATTAATTGATCAAGTGAATCTAGTACCAAGAAGGGAGATGTACAACAATTGTTGAAAGAGGATGAATTCAATAAACCCTCTCATACAGGGGGGGTAATATGATTTAAAGTGCTAGATTTAGAAGGATAATGCACTACATTCAAATAATCAGACAAGCAACATGGACAATTGAAATTCAAACTTCATTACCATTGAAGCTTTTTTTCCAACTAATTGAGGTCGGCTACACAAATCTTGATCGCCCATTCTGCTCTATTAATGGTCATACCATCAGTGCGGGAGACACCCTACCATAAGCAAATAGAGTATTTTCCAAATTATGATCAAGTTTTGGCAAAATTTTATATTGACTGCCTACCAAACACAACCCACCTATGCTTAGGATAAGTTAAGAGAAAATTTAACGTCTTCACCCTTCTTGTTTATAGTCATCAATTCATTCCAAAATTCAGACATTTTAACATGTTTATTGAGACCAAATATTAGTCAACACCCACTTAAAACCCAAACTAGGACCTTAAAAAAAATAATAGAGATAGATCTTTGGGTTATGGCATAAGTGGAACTGTGTAGCAAGGTAACGTCCCATACCAAAGGCTGGGAATACCCACAGTATCTGTTCCTTTAAAATCCATTGGATTTCATCCCCATATATCTCTACCATTTAAATATTCGAGACTTGAGATCTGTTTGCAGCAACACCAAAATATCTGGCTTTCCTTCCCGAACCAAAGAGGATATTATGCTTTTTTCTCATTATTTCTAGGCCTTGTTTAAACCCCTAACATTCTAGATTACTTGTTTGATGAATAATCTATTTGTTGTGTCTAGTGAGATTCAAGTTTTTAGATAATCAACGATTTGCGAGTTTTATGTGAGGCTCTAATGTGATCACCGCATTCCAATGAAGCTAAAGAGTGAGTTTTATAAGATAGTTGTGCAACCAGCACATAAAACAATATCTCATAAACTGAGTATAGCGAAAATGAAGATATTGAGATAGATGAGTGGAAAGACAAGAAGGGATAGAATTCGAAATAAATCCATTTGGAAAAATTTAGATGTAGTACCAATAGGCAATAAGATACGAGAGAGTAGATTTAGGTGGACTGGACATGTGTGACACCAACCTAGTACAATACTTATTAGGACGTGCAAGTTAGTACCGGTGGAAAGATTGAAAAAAAAACGGAGTAGGCCCAAAAAAACATGTTTGGAAATAGTCCGAAAAGATAGCCTCACTTAGGGTATGGTTTTTAATATAGTAGAATGACAGACA